GTTGGATGCCGGCCCAGTGGTCCGATGGTAAGGCGTTCGCCTACAATGCCAAAGGTCCCGGGTTCGAATCCTGCGAGGAGCAGGAGTCGTGGATGCGCACTGCTGAGGAGTCCCATACTAGGACGAAACGGCCGTCCAGTGCTTCCAGGTTTCTAATGGTGGTCTAACAATGATGATTGATTAATGATTTCAAATGTGTAAAAACGCAAACCTCCAAAACTGTGCCCCAATATAATGTAACAGTGCTCACTAGTGACTAGCTTCGTGAGGAAATTCTCGGAGTTCTAGTTGAGAAGACGTGACCAGTGGAGTTCAACCCTGTCGGGTGTAGGCAGTAACTACCAAAGACAAATGGGTGAGGTCGCGCAAAATCCCTAGATCAATCAGAGTTAGACATTAACACCGTTGGATGCCGGCCCAGTGGTCCGATGGTAAGGCGTTCGCCTACAATGCCAAAGGTCCCGGGTTCGAATCCTGCGAGGAGCAGGAGTCGTGGATGCGCACTGCTGAGGAGTCCCATACTAGGACGAAACGGCCGTCCAGTGCTTCCAGGTTTCTAATGGTGGTCTAACAATGATGATTGATTAATGATTTCAAATGTGTAAAAACGCAAACCTCCAAAACTGTGCCCCAATATAATGTAACAGTGCTCACTAGTGACTAGCTTCGTGAGGAAATTCTCGGAGTTCTAGTTGAGAAGACGTGACCAGTGGAGTTCAACCCTGTCGGGTGTAGGCAGTAACTACCAAAGACAAATGGGTGAGGTCGCGCAAAATCCCTAGATCAATCAGAGTTAGACATTAACACCGTTGGATGCCGGCCCAGTGGTCCGATGGTAAGGCGTTCGCCTACAATGCCAAAGGTCCCGGGTTCGAATCCTGCGAGGAGCAGGAGTCGTGGATGCGCACTGCTGAGGAGTCCCATACTAGGACGAAACGGCCGTCCAGTGCTTCCAGGTTTCTAATGGTGGTCTAACAATGATGATTGATTAATGATTTCAAATGTGTAAAAACGCAAACCTCCAAAACTGTGCCCCAATATAATGTAACAGTGCTCACTAGTGACTAGCTTCGTGAGGAAATTCTCGGAGTTCTAGTTGAGAAGACGTGACCAGTGGAGTTCAACCCTGTCGGGTGTAGGCAGTAACTACCAAAGACAAATGGGTGAGGTCGCGCAAAATCCCTAGATCAATCAGAGTTAGACATTAACACCGTTGGATGCCGGCCCAGTGGTCCGATGGTAAGGCGTTCGCCTACAATGCCAAAGGTCCCGGGTTCGAATCCTGCGAGGAGCAGGAGTCGTGGATGCGCACTGCTGAGGAGTCCCATACTAGGACGAAACGGCCGTCCAGTGCTTCCAGGTTTCTAATGGTGGTCTAACAATGATGATTGATTAATGATTTCAAATGTGTAAAAACGCAAACCTCCAAAACTGTGCCCCAATATAATGTAACAGTGCTCACTAGTGACTAGCTTCGTGAGGAAATTCTCGGAGTTCTAGTTGAGAAGACGTGACCAGTGGAGTTCAACCCTGTCGGGTGTAGGCAGTAACTACCAAAGACAAATGGGTGAGGTCGCGCAAAATCCCTAGATCAATCAGAGTTAGACATTAACACCGTTGGATGCCGGCCCAGTGGTCCGATGGTAAGGCGTTCGCCTACAATGCCAAAGGTCCCGGGTTCGAATCCTGCGAGGAGCAGGAGTCGTGGATGCGCACTGCTGAGGAGTCCCATACTAGGACGAAACGGCCGTCCAGTGCTTCCAGGTTTCTAATGGTGGTCTAACAATGATGATTGATTAATGATTTCAAATGTGTAAAAACGCAAACCTCCAAAACTGTGCCCCAATATAATGTAACAGTGCTCACTAGTGACTAGCTTCGTGAGGAAATTCTCGGAGTTCTAGTTGAGAAGACGTGACCTGTGGAGTTCAACCCTGTCGGGTGTAGGCAGTAACTACCAAAGACAAATGGGTGAGGTCGCGCAAAATCCCTAGATCAATCAGAGTTAGACATTAACACCGTTGGATGCCGGCCCAGTGGTCCGAGGTAAGGCGTTCGCCTACAATGCCAAAGGTCCCGGGTTCGAATCCTGCGAGGAGCAGGAGTCGTGGATGCGCACTGCTGAGGAGTCCCATACTAGGACGAAACGGCCGTCCAGTGCTTCCAGGTTTCTAATGGTGGTCTAACAATGATGATTGATTAATGATTTCAAATGTGTAAAAACGCAAACCTCCAAAACTGTGCCCCAATATAATGTAACAGTGCTCACTAGTGACTAGCTTCGTGAGGAAATTCTCGGAGTTCTAGTTGAGAAGACGTGACCAGTGGAGTTCAACCCTGTCGGGTGTAGGCAGTAACTACCAAAGACAAATGGGTGAGGTCGCGCAAAATCCCTAGATCAATCAGAGTTAGACATTAACACCGTTGGATGCCGGCCCAGTGGTCCGATGGTAAGGCGTTCGCCTACAATGCCAAAGGTCCCGGGTTCGAATCCTGCGAGGAGCAGGAGTCGTGGATGCGCACTGCTGAGGAGTCCCATACTAGGACGAAACGGCCGTCCAGTGCTTCCAGGTTTCTAATGGTGGTCTAACAATGATGATTGATTAATGATTTCAAATGTGTAAAAACGCAAACCTCCAAAACTGTGCCCCAATATAATGTATTTTCATTTTTGAACATACAGAAAAAATTACCATAGTTATCCAAACGATGGCTATGATGCGTCAACACACACGTACACATTATTTTATTTTGATTTCCCTGTTTCACTATGGTGATATTACGACATTATCCTACACTGTGACATTGTTTTTTTGTTACACATGTAAACGAATTCATAGCAATGTATTTCTTTGCATAAAAAGAATACATGTAATGAGTAATGAGTAACTTGTAAACTAATGAATTTACAATATATAACACGTTGATTCATAAAACTGGAATTTTTTAGCAATTAGAATAATAGAGATTAGTGTTTTTACACATTTGAAATCATCAATCAATCATTGTTGGACAACCATTACAAAACTTGGAAGTAGTGGACGATCGTTTCGTCCTAATATGGGACTCGTCGGCAGTGCGCGTCCCCGAATCCTACTTGCTACTCGCGGAATTCGAACCCAGGACCTTTGGTCGTGCACGCGAACGCCTAACCTCTGAACCACTGGGCTGGCATCCAACACAACCTTACTCGCTGTCTTCAGTTGTGACTGCCTACACTCTACAGGTTTGAGTTCCCTTGGTCATGTCTTCTCACTAGAACTCAGAGAATTTCTTCACGAAGCTAGTCACTACTGAGCAAATTGTACGATTAATTCAATTACAGTTATGGAGATTAGTGTTTTTACACATTTGAAATCATCAATCAATCATTATTAGACAAATGGGTCAGGTCATGCAAAATTTCTAGGTTGATCAGAGTTAGACAGTAACACCGTTGGATGCTATAGCTCAGTGGTCCAGAGGTTAGGCATTTGCGCGTAGGACCGAAGGTCCTGGGTTCGAATTCTGTGAGTAGTAGGAGTCGTGGTTGGGCACTGCTGATGATTTCGTCCCATAGCAGGACGAAACGGCCTTCCAGTGCTTTCAAGTCCCTAATGGTGGTCTAATAATGATTGATTTGTGATTTCAATGTGTATTTAACCACAAGCTTTAACTGATTTAACTCAATGTATTTACTCAATGGCTGTGTGAATCCAGATTTGTAAAAAATACAAAATACCTAAATGTTTTTTTCATAAACATTCTGATATCCATTTCATATTAATGAAATTAAGATAGGATCCTACAATCGATAATGTTTAACAAATGTTTTCACTTTATCAATTAGATGAATACAATTTTGAACAGTTTCTCATTAATGCGTTGTAAACAGGATTCATTTTGATTTTTTGAAATGACGCGTTAGATTTATTTGAATAAGTCAAGATTTGAATTTCAATCTAATTGAAGTGAATACATGATAATGCTTGTGTTTTCAAGGATTAAATCGATCACAAAAACAGAACATCCTCTGCAAACAGTGTCCTCACCACACGATTTTCATCGTACTTTGATCAGTGAGTGACGTTTTAGGCATTACAAGTGTGGTGTGTGCTACTTATACGAACGAAATAAGTAGTATAAGAAGTCACAACTCAAAGATGGTGTGCAAATAGAGTGTTCAATGTAATGTTTTCGTTTTTAATTGACTAAGAGTGTACATTTACATAATCCAGTCTTCCGCGCCTGCCCCGCTACTTCTACACACGATGAAGAACCCATGGCCTCGGGAGCTTGAAGACGGAGATGTAAGGAGCTTCTCGAGGGAGTTCGAGGCCATGGCGGAGCTGGTAGGAGTCAAGGAGCAGAGGGCCAATGTGGTGGTGTTAGGAACTCTACTGAGAGACAGGCTGATGATGTCGCGAAGAAGATAGAAGAATTACAACGCGAGGTGGCAGCGTTACGAATAAAGGGTGAAAGAAATAATAAATGCTATATTTGCAGAGGAACCGGGCATTGGAAGAGGAATTGCCCAACAAGATGAAAACGAAAACATTACATTGAACACTCTATTTGCACACCATCTTTGAGTTGTGACTTCCAACACTCCAGCCTTCTTCCATTCCTGTTGTTGCTTCCTTTACTTCCTGTTGGTACTCCATTTACTTCTTGCTTTTGCTCCTTTTGCTTTCCGTTTTCCTCTTCTAACCGTGAGACTTCTTCTTTCACGTCCCTTCTTATACTACTTATATTGTTCGTATAAGTAGCACACACCACACAAGTATCCCTTATTAGTAGAGGGAACAATGTATTCTAGCCAATGAATACCAACCTGAATGTCAACACATATATATGTGTTGTTCTAATTTTGAAAATCGACTTTCTGGAAGCAATGAAACACAATACAATAATCATCACTCACTTATGTGAAACAAAATATTACTACGTTATAAAATTAATTGTCAGTCAGTAAGTAAAAAAATAACATGTATTTTTTTTAAAAAACTATTATAACTTACTCCAATTATAATATTTACCAGGCATACAATACAACGAAGTGCACAAATACATGATGACATGATTCAACAATTGAGTAAAAACGTACAAAATAATTTGAAAATCCACCTAAACAAGAAAAGAATAACAGAGAGAGTTCATTAATTTTAATCCTGGTAATAGTAATCCTTATTAGTGTACACTAACTAACCCTAACCCTAGAGATAGATAGATAGATAGATAGATAGATACGATAACCGGGAATCTCGAGGAGACCAACTTACCTTTAGACCACCGAAATTGTAATTACGGGGTTGTGAAGATTGTTAAGTTACACAGTTTTGAAACCATCAATCAATCAATGTTAGACCAACATTAGAAGAAACCTGGAAGCACAAGATGACGGCCGTTTCGTCCTGGTATGGGACTCACCAGCAATGTGCATCCAAGATTCCTGCACCTCGCAGGATCCAAACCCAGGACCTTTGGTTTTGTGCGCGAATGACTAACAATCGGACCACTGAGCTGGTATCTAACAGTGTTAATGTCTAACTTCGATCGATTCACAGAGTTGCGCAACCTCATACACAGTCTTCGGTAGACATTGCCTACACCCGAACAGGTTGAGCTTCACTGATCACGTCTTCACACTAGAACTCGGAGAAGATTCCTCACGAAGCTAGTCAGTAGTGAGCACAGGTAGTTTGCATTAAGGAGTTGTGAAAATTGTTTTTTTGAAACCATGAATCGATCAATTTTAGACCACCATTAGAAACCTGGAAGAAGCACTGGACGGCCGTTTCGTCCTGGTGGTTTCTTATAACTAACTTTAACTGTCGTTTGATCTCATTTGTAGGTAACTATCTCACACTCAACGCGGTTGAATTCCAATGATCACTGATTCTAACTAAAACTCATAGAATCACTTCACGAAATTAACACCCAACGACTACATACTGATTATTATTACTAACTATAGGGTTTAGAGAAACTGTTAAAGTGTACACGTAGAGCGTTATGGGCTGATCTTAGTTGTCAATATGTTAAACTGAATTTGATCAGTATATAGATTCCCTAAACGGATGTCTTGATCTTGTTTTCAGTGACAAATCGTTTATTCTTAGAGTAATAGATGCAAGTGGAATCGGTTTTTTTTCCTTTTGTCCTTACTCGGAGTCTGAATGTAGTAGCATATGCGTTGTCATTCATATAGAGGTTCAGACGCAGTACTGAAGGATTATTACTTACTTACTTACGCCTGTTACCCCCAATGGAGCATGGGCCGCCCACCAGTTTTCTCCAACAAACTCTGTCTGTCCTGGGCTTCCCTCTCCAGTTCTGTCCAATGTTTGTTCATTCCTCTCATATCTTTCTCTATTTCTCGGAAAAGTAATGTGTTCCTTGGCCTTCCTCTTTTCCTTTTGCCTTGAGGGTTCCACGTGAGGGCTTGTCTCGTGACGCAGTTAGGTGCTTTTCGTAATGTGTGTCCTATCCACTTCCACCGCTTCTTCATGATTTCCTCCTCCACTGGAATTCGGTTTGTTCTCTCCCACAGTACGTTGTTGCTGATGATGTCTGACCAACGAATCCTCAGTATTTTGCGTAGACAACTGTTCATAAATACTTGTATCTTCTGGATGATGGCTTTCGTAGTTCTCCATGTTTCCACTCCATACAGTAGAACTGTCTGGACATTTGTATTGAAAATCGTGATTTTGGTTTTGGTTGAAAGTTGTTTGAAGTTCCAGATATTTTTCAATTGTAGAAATGCAGCTCTTGCTTTGCTTATCTTAAAGGTTTAATATTTATCGTAATTAATCTATGTAGAACACAGTAGCCAATTAAATAGAAGCTTAAAAACTTCTCCCGTTGATAACTTAAGCAGTTCGGAAACAATCATGATTCTGTAGCCTAGTGGGACTGTGAGTACTAGATTTAAATCTTCATATGAATATCAGTACCAAGTACAGGTATACTCTAATGATGAGTTCCAAATATGATGAAATGTCTTCTAGCTTCTACTCTTAGCTGCCAAACAAAATACACGCAGGAACTTTAGGTAGCTGGGTCCCGTCAAGAGGAAGCGAGCTGCCTTGTTTTCCTGCTGGTTGACACTTGTCAGTGAGGTTCGCCTGAAGTCTCAACAGTACTGGTACTTCCTGTGGGATTAGAAATGAGGAAATCCTGCTTGGGAGCATAAGATGTTTTCTATTAATCTTCAATAAGACTAATAAATCCACTCCTTCAGTGTTGATCCAATTCAACCAGTCAAGTTACCATAGGATCATTAATCTAGAAGTTTCCTACTGACTACCTCGAATATACGGCCATGTTAACTAGTACATGTTACAGTAAAAAATGCTTCAGCTTTAAAATAAAAATGATCTTGAGAAAAACGAATTTTATAATGCTTTTAGATATGACTCAAAATCAGATACTCGTTAATTAAATGAAGGGTAGTATTCGTTAAGCATCAAATAGAGTACCATTAAAAGCAAGTAAGAGTTGAATGAATGTTTCATCTTTGTATGGGGCTGCTTACTAATACACCCTCACAATCTAACTAGGGATCAGTTATTTGTAACTTAACAATCTTCACAACCCCGTAATGCAAATATTCTTTACATTAAACAGTATTCTTGAAATCAGTGTTTTTATTTTTTTTACTAGGAGGCCTGTTTAATTAGACTGTGTTTTTAGAGCAAGGTCAAGTACTTCGTCAATCTGAAGTTCTTTTCAACAAAATATTCTCTAATTTAGAGAAAAAAAACTATGAATCAGTCTTTGAAGGATTATTTTCCTTGGAAAATTATTTTCAAGTATTACCGAGGTACAGTTATTTAAGTTCCATCAGAATTCACTCACACTCCCCGACAAGATGTATCTTCCACTCTGATCAAGACAGTACTTTCGTCGCTCAATATCTTATGTACAAATATTATCGGCCAACTATAAGACCCAACTATAAGACCGTCATTGCTGTCTTCCTGTCCTACCTTTCTTAAATCCTTTAATGATCGATTTGGTTCTAAATGGTGTGATCTGGTAAGAACGTTGTGGCTTTGTGTATGCATTTGTGTGGGAATAAGGTGCCGCCTATGACAAGTCTGTCGAAGGCACAGATTTGTAAAACTCCCATCGTTTTCATTTTTTTTCTCCCAGTTTATGTGGTCCCATGATGTCTTCATATCTAGTGATGTTCATTCCAACCTTGTCGTTTAGGTCTGCCATCAGAATAGTTAAATACTCTGTTGGGCATTTCTCCCACTGAGGTGATCTTTATCGTCCTCATTGTTATCGTTGGTGGATGCATAGCATCGTGATCTTTCCTTTCTTTGTCTTGAAGGATGATCCTTAGTCCATTAGGTCCCCACCTTGTAAGTCCCTGTTGTGATTCTTTGGAAAACATCAGAGCAAATCCTTCTGTATATGCTGCATTTTCTTCTCCATAGCCTGTTTTCCAACCTGCGTCCAATTTGTTTCAATGATTCCAAGTACCACCAGGTTGAATGAAGGGCATCTAACTCCTAGAGTAGAGTTTCAATTGCCTAAATGATTTTTCCCTGTTAGCGTTTTTTTAGCAAGTTGGTTTTTTACGGGATGTGATCGCTAACCTTATGACAAACCCTTCTCCTTTATCCGGATTAGGACGAGCAGTAACCACAGAAGGGCGAAGTTGTTTTATAAATTTTATCATTCATTACGGTAACAGAAAAAAGTAACTTTTATAATATTAAAAATGAACACCATCTTCAGCTTAAACTAATCTCCACTAACTTAGCAATCAGAAAATATTTCAGAAATTGCTATAACTGAAAATCCAAATTCCTAGTGACCATACATAACCTATGAAGTACCGCCATACCATCATAAGTGAGACAGTTACTTTTAATAACATCAAATTATCATCAGCAAACGATTAAAGTTAAGAATACTGAGCACTGAACTTTAACTCAGTGGCCTAAAAGTGTCATGTTCACCTCTAAATCCGTTACATTCCTGTTATTATCTTGAATGCGTACTGCTAAAGAGTCTCATGGTAGGATTCAGTCAGTCCGTCAGTTGCAACGTAGAACTTCGTATGTATGTACATAAGTTCATGTTGCCATACCACATTAGCACACAGACGCAAATGTCAAATCAAATCCCATAGTGATAAAGATAGTAGAGGTATTAATGGTAATGAAGAACACTAGGGTTTGAAGATATTATTCAAGAATTATTATTCAGTGAGATAAGGTTAGAAAGACAAAGGTAGAGGTGTTGACGAATCCAGAAAATTAGGATTTGAGAGAGCTCACCCAAAGAATGAATGCACCGGCGCCATTGCAAACGGTATTGAGCTATGTCATTCAAGGTATCTAACCATCGATTATTATCATCTCGCGGATCCCAACCAGGTAGTCGACAACTACCGATATGACTCAGTCCACTTGTTGTCAGTGACTTCATGGATTTGTGCCATGTTTTGGTCTAGCCGCCCAAAGCTTTCTTCCAACCTACTCCTACACTACAAAATAAAGCTCTTCGAGGCAGTCGGTGGTTAGGCATACGCAACACATGTCTCAACCACCTCAACTGATGAAGTTTCAATACTTCATCGATTGATCTGCCATTCTTACCTAGCACCCGATTCCTAATGACAGCGTTGCTTACTCGGTTGTCCCAAGATATACGACCAATGCTTCGAAGACACCTATGATCGAAAACCAGTAACCGACGAATATCTTCTACTCTCATTGGCCATGTTTCACAGCCATAAAGTAAGACGGAGCGAACTACTGCACAGTACACGCGTCCTTTGGTCAGCAAACGGATATCTCGCCTGCGCCATAGGTGACGCAAGTTGGCAAAAGCCAATCGAGCCTTCTGTATCCGAGCTGATATTTCGTCAGTCACCAGGCTATCAGCACTGATGAGACTCCCAAGATAAGTGAAGCGGTCTACACGTTCGACTACTTCACTCCGTATCACTAGTTCAGGTGCCGATGCAACCCAATCTTGAAGCAACATTTTGCATTTCGAGGGTGAGAACCGCATCCCGAACATACTTGCATTGTTGCTTAGGGTGGTCTGAATACTC